AGGATGAATACCTGACAATGTCTTGTATACACACATAACATCCAGGCCCACAACATCAACTTTATGCAGGTTACTTAAACAAGTTGTAATCTCTTTTTTTATAAATTTACCATGGTCATATACAGTCCTCCATTTATTTGCAAATATAACAAATTGTTATAAGCAACTGCAATCATTTTTATTCTTAATTAAATTTGAAAGGGTCATAAAAAGGGTCTCATAATATTCCTATCTTTATTCTAATCTGCCTCATATAATTGATTAGCAGCAACATTAATTTCATTCTCCTCTTGCAGGCAGTGTATTTAAGTATAGTGTCAGCTGGTTGGCTGCCATGTTTCCCAGGGAGTGACCTTGTGTGATATTGAAAATGAAATATGCATTATGCACCCAATAAATCTCAACACAACTTGCAGTTTTGGAAATGACAGTAATACACAACCATGCTCCTGATGATAGAATTTAGTTAAAAATTTTGATTAAAAAAATGCACGTGTCATGTCAGACAAATAGAGATAGCAGCCCTTAGCAAAATCAGGCCTGCTTGCAAATCTGCAGCAAATTTACAGCAAATTTGCTGCAATATTGCTGCAAACTGCAATTCCTTCTTGCAAATTTGTAGCAAATTTACAGCAATATGACTGCAAATTAGCAGCAATAAAAGTTTTCTTGTAAACTCCTTCAAGTTCATTGCTGCAAACTTAAAGTTTAAGCAATATTGCTACAATTTTGCTGCAGTATTGCTGCAAACTTTTCATTTTGTTAAGGGAGCATTTGTGGGCATCAAGAATTAATCAAGTTGGATATTGGAAGTATAAAATAATTTTAATGGATAATTTTGTGCAAAATAAAATTCTCAGGTTTAGCGCATTTTTCATCCACTCTATATTCATATGGGTTATTTCACAAAGCATAAACATTTGAGACATGTCAGTGATGCATACATTTTCTGTAATATTTGCATAATTTTGACTTGACCCATTATTTTTGATGTTTTATACTGCAGTACCCTCAAACATAGAAAGAAAACAAACAGTTATAAATAATGCACAAAATGTGTGCATCATTGCTATGGATCCAATGTTCACTTTTTTGTGGAATGACCCACATTCAGTTCAAAATCAACTCCCTGGAAAATGTTTATTATTGTAATTAATATCAAAAATGCTTTTACTTTAAAAAAATTAAGGGATAAATGTGAGACAACAGTAAATACAGTGTATGTTCATTGTACAAGCACCAAAATGTTGGTGACAACTCGTGGTTTTTATCACAGGGCACTGGAAGTGATTGTGCACTCATTTTAGAGATGCACAGGACTTTCCACTGCCTTGATGCTTGAACACTGAACTGCCAAATTAATTTGATCTGATACAGGTTTCATGGTGCTTTGATCTCAGTTCAACGGAGTTATGGATACTCATTAAAGAGACAGAGTCCATTACATTAAATCAGTTCACTTTAGATTACCCAGAATGGACTAAATGTGGATGGCAAAAATTATAGCTGTGTTATAGTCATTTCATTGCTGAGTTTTTTCAACAGACCACATGGTTAAGTCATTTGGGTTTTATGTACAAACCACTTTCGCTAGGATTGTTCAGCATGGATCAAGAAAAGAAAAAGGTTGATTGCTTTTCTGTTGAAGATTGAAAAGGTCAGACTTATGTGTCCAGATACTAAAAACTTATCTTCTGCATAATTCTTCAACAACAAGTTTTCAATTCCATTGTTGCTACTTTCCAATCATATGAAAGGTATTCCAAGTTCAGACAAATCTGAAACCTGATTTAATGAATACATAGCAGCATCCAAATATCCAACTTGTTAATTATCATCCTTTGTTAATCCCCTTAGTTTGAACTTTGGAGATCTTCTTCCTGGAAATTGCTGAATGTGGCACACTGCTAGAGATTGACAATTTAAACGGATACCTCCCAATGGTAAATTTAATCAATTCTTTACAACAGGGCTGCAAAACAGGAAGAAACAGACACAACCTTATAACACCAATCTCCATAAACATCTTGGGGGGGGGGAGGGGGGGGGATAATAATAATAATAATAATAATAAAAAATTCCAGAAAAAAAGAAAAGAAAAACCTCACCTCATATATATATATATATTTTTTTTTTCATTTTCTATACCTTTTTCCAAAAGAGCATAATATACATCATGTGATAAATAAAGTGATTAATGTTTTTGTAAAGGTGTTCAAGCAAAAAACCACTGCACTCAATATGACAGTCTCTATGATTGAGATGCTCTACTCTCTTCTATAATATTTGTAAATAAAACATATATAGAGCAATGGTCAAGATTAATGCTGAAATAAGATGCTATTATAAAGCACTGTGAAGCCATCAGAAAGGCATAATATCAGGCCTGAGATATTTACCTTGGCATGTTATCTTACTGTGGCCAAAGCTTTGATATAGTTCAGGGATTATCTTGTGTTCACAGTCAATAATTACAAATGACCAAGTTTATCCAAGCCAGGGTCATATTTGTATTTCTTCCCAGTTGTGACGCAAATGCGACATGTGGTCCAGTGTGGCAGCAGCAAGGTTACAGCTGCTTGACAATAGGTACTTTCTTGTTCCAAAGTGAAAATAACATTCACATGTATGAATGAAAAAAAAAAAGGGATTCAGTTCTAAATAGCAGAGATGAGATAGTAAATCAACTGAAGATAAAAATCTTCCAATTTAGAGTGTTATAAACTGAATCCAGGGTCTTTTGGACCTTTTTTTTCTACATGGAAGGAGGAACATCCCTATCCCTCACATAGAAGCTTGATATATTAGCTTGATATGCTTCAAAGAGTCATTATATATTACATAAATTTTCAGAAAATAGAATAAATAATAGCCCATTATCATTGTTCATTCCTGAATGTTTTGGGAAATTTTCTGTACTATGATAATCCATTAACCCTACACAAAGTCTTGACTTGGAAAAATCCTAGAGCAAAGAAAATAATCAAACCTACGAACATAATAAGGGCAGGTGACATGCATGCAATGTCAGTTATTAATAATGATAGGTTTTGGTTCTTACTAAATACAATCAATATAGCCCTTAGACTGTGAAGCAAAAGCTATATATATATTATATATGAGTGCAAGAGCAAGACCTCCACAAGACTATTTTACAGAACTCAACATTGAATTGCCTGAAGCTCTCACAAACAGCCACGCAAACATTTTCTCCTTCCTTTATGCCTTTTCTGGATAGGGACAGAAGTGTTTTTTTCTTCTCTAGAAACTACATGTATATTAGCATACCTGAGAAACACAGGTGGGCATGCCTTCATTGCCACAATCCAGCCGTAAAGTAGCTGCAAATTGGCTATAAACAATAAATACACACATGACACCGCAAACATAAAAAATGGAAAGGGATGCTAAACAAAAATATTAAAAAGCAACATTTATTGTTTCTGCTTTTCTCAAACTTGATCAATTTATTCATAAATATCAGGGTCACTTTGTCATATACTTAATATGTCAGCACTGCCATTACAGTAACCATGGTTTATCAATGCTATGTACAGGGTGATTATTATTAAAGTCTGTAACTTTATGAATCTGTACATTTTGAAACAGACCAATTGATCTGGTTTGGACAATGACATAAATAATTCTCTACCTTAATCACTGATGTAGAAAAAAGTGATCAAAGTGTCCAGAATACCATAAGTTACTTACTCTCTCTCGAACAGATAACATGTCTAACAAATGAATTTGCTGTACATATATTGAATAATTTATCACACGTGAATAAGCTGTTCATGATGGATGCTTTCAATTACCTTTTATCTCCTGAAAGAGGTCAAAACATAAAAAGTGGGAATGATACAATGACTCTTTGAAGCAGATGTATGCCCTTATTTTAAATATCTATGAATTAGTATTGTGCATTTTTCACATCCTGGCACCACCATGGTTGTTCAAATACGGTGAGAAAATAGCAGAAAGTACATTGTACACATCTTTTTTCTTTTGATCTTTGCTACACAAAATTCCCCATGCAAAGCTTAGGGTCTCTCTCTCTCTCTCTCTTTCCGAGGCTACTCTTTCTCTCTGTTGGCTTATTAGTCAAAACTTGAATACTTTACATTTTACAGAACAAAACCCTTGCTTCATGTTTCTCCAAAAAAATATCTCAAAACAATAAATAGCAGCAGAACTGCTGCATTCATCAGACAACAAATAGACAAGGGGATTAACATGATGTATATAAATATCTTGCTGGATCAGGTAGCAGTTATCAAAATGAAATATGGGTCTGGAATCCAGTGAAATAAACCACAAACCATGTGTAGACTCTCCATAATCAACAATTTATATTCCCAAAAATATTTGATCATTGTGTGTAAGGAATGTATGTCCATATCTAGTATGTTGCCTAGAAAAACATATACATGCACATATATATGTATATAATAATATATATTAAAAAACAATTTCTTTCAAATGCTTTTAGATAAGTAGTGACTGTAGTAATCTGCTGCAGTACAAAAACTGAAAGGTGTTCAAACACATAATTTATGGATATGGTGATGCTGATATTAAAATTCTTTATATATCTTGCAGCTATGGAACAAATATAATGCTCTGTACAAGGTAACAATAAAGATATGAGGTTTGTTGTTACAAGTCTGTTCTTAAAATTTATCACTGGTACAAGCACATGCATGCACATACATACATGAAACAATTCTACTAACCCGTTTTCTAGGCAAGAGATGAGCGACTGTCCAACATACTACAAGCTGCATAATAAAGTGGGGTTGAAAAATGGAGCAAAAATACTGCAAGGGACATACTAGTCACTTTCTTGATGCCATAATAGCAGGCATGTTTTCAATGGGGCTATTATTGTATTGGAGGTAATGGTGCTAAGGTATTATTTCATCAGATCAAAACAAATTACTCAAGCATAATGGCAAATCAATAGACATTGGGACAACCACATACTAATGCGATGCACATACCTGGTTCTTATGGCTCAGGGCTGGTAATGATGTCCGACGCCCAACACGAAAACCCTGGGCACTGGATGAGCTTGATCTTCGCCTCTTGATGACCGGTATTTTGCCATCATGTGTTACAAATGTGCTGATGGGAGTCCTGTATATTGTTTCTATGTATTTGGCTGCCAGCACTCCAACCAAGCCAGCACTATACGATGTATAGGGTCGAAGCAGCTGGGGGAAATCCTGCAAGCTACTGCAGGCTAGGAACCTCAAGAAGCTAACACTCACTATGACCAACGCGCTTTGGGTAGTGTCTAGTGTGGAAAATAAACTAGAGATACACACCGAAACCAATACAATGCAGAGAAAACACGGCTGTGTGATGTACTGCTCAGCAGCATTGTTTGCATTGCACAGGAGCTGAGCGAGGAATTCGCCCACAAAACAAGAGCAAAAGAATAAATAAATACTAGTACTGTTCCATGCTCGCCTCAGATATACAGTCAACCAATAAAAAGCACATGATATACAGAATATTGGCACCAAAAGCGCACAAAATCTCTGAAATAGCTGGGCTAAATCGCACGTCCAAATCTCATAGGCGACTAGTCCAAGCAGCAGACTGCCGACTCCGTACACGGCCCATAATTGTTCCTTTGATAACTGTGTTGCCAGGCCATTTGCCCAGCTAACAATTACATTGTAACTACCTTGTTCCAATATCTTGACATAGTCATGAACGTAACCATTGTTTTCTGTTTCATCCTCTTCTTTTTCAGTACCTGAACGAGAGCTTCTCCTACCCAGCGAGTGTCTATGAGCCATTTTGCCTTCTACACAACGCTAAGCATTCTGGGTAAATTAAAAGACGAGCGCACCAGCTGTGAAAGTCTCATTGGCGCGACCTTTCAGAACTGAAATTAATTGTTTCATAGTCTGTGTCGGGGAGTATCGGTGAATTAAATTTACGTTAATATCTCACTTTGATTGTGTTGATATAAAATAAGTGATTTTACACTGACAAAACATTTTGTTTGATGGGGTGGATAGGTATTTCTGGTACGTTTCCTTGCTGGAACCCATAAGTTGGAAGGGGGTCAAGTAAAAACTGGCAAATTACACGAAATTAACCTTGCTGAGCTTAGTTATACTAAAGCCAACAATTTATCTGTATAGTTATCAAATGAAAACAACAAATTTGTTTGAAGAAAATGTCAAATATTATCTCATAACTGAGAGTCATTCAATCAATGAAATTTCATTTAGACAATGCAATAGACACAGTGCATTTTTGCAACTATTAAATAGTTTTAGTGCAAAGAAGCACTTCTCTAAAAGCATTTTATTCATATTTAAATTATTTAATATGTGAACCTGCATTCAGAATCAATTCTACACAAAATTTATATTTCATTTAATGATTTATACATTCCATAGTCTACATTTTTTAGCATGGAAAACTTTAGGGATGGCACAGGTCCCATCCAGTTGGGTTAGAGATGTTGGACCTGTTAAACATGAATAACACTGTAAAAAAAGGAAAAATTTTGTAGTTGGTAATTAAGATAATAAATTTGGAAATATTTTAATTGTCAATCTCATTACCCATCAAAGATAATTGGTAATGTATATTTTGCATTTGTTTTCATTTTATTGGGTGCTCCAAAGATTCATTTTGCTGAATCATTTATCTACAGAACTGACAAAATTCTAATTAAAACCAGAGAGCAACACTGGGAAACACAGAGATAAAAGTTGTCGGATAATGGTAATTTTCAAAAGACACCTTTTACTTATCCAAGCAAACCCACTCAATAAGTTTAAAGAAAAACAAATTATGCGGCGAATATTGCAAAATGCGTGCATAAAAACACACACACAAAAAAATTTATAACTTATGTAAAACTAATCTGACCATGCTCAAATGAAACATTTTTTAACTAAATAAAGCCACTCGGTAAATTTAAGGTAAAACAATAATATGACTTGGCAGTTATAGGGGCTAATGTGTTGAAAGACCACAACTAAGACACGGACTAGACACAGTTATCAGAATATATACAGAAACACACTGTATCTGTATGTTATAAAAAAGCAAGAAATGCATCTTAATAATGTATTGGAAACCTAATTTCAAGTGGTTATTTTTCAGTTATGTATTTTGCCTGGCTGTCCCCAAATGAACCTTTGAAGACAGGAAAGAACCCTGGATATTAATAAAATATCAATCACTAGAAAACTCAATAAAAAATTCACAAGCACATATCAGTACATTATTTATTTTTATAAACAAAATGCCCTGAACAGCTTTTTAACTGCTAGGTTGAGCAATAGATGCATGTGTGTATATACAAGCAACATAATAATAGAAAAGTTGAGCAATATTACTGTGCACTGCTAAAATTACAACACTTCAACCATGATACATTCAAGAAGCAATATATTTTCAAATTCATTTTTCTATGCACAAAGATCCCTGGAAATGTTCCATGCCTTAAGTTGTACTGTGATCTTTTTCATCTGTGAAGTGCAACTCGCAACAACAGCGGTCTACAATTAATCTGACAGTTACATAGCATTTCTTGTGTTGGGGTTTTGATAATTTCAGAAATAACAAAATGCTTTTTACAACTATCACAAGCACTTTAAACCAACAAACAAGAGTCATAAAATAGTTATCTATCATGATGGTATCATTATAGAGTCCCCTGCTGTATTTCCAAGCTCAAAAGCCCTGATAGAAATATGTCTCAATATAGACATTAATATTCAAAATATCTATGTTTTACACATTTGACATTGGCAAGGTTGTTTAGCTCAGTTTAATTTAGGAATACTGTATGAAAGAATGAGTAACTCTGCTGTCAAGGAATGCTTGCACTTCTTGCTTGGATTGTAACAAGTGATGTTTGCTGTCTTAAAATCTCCCCCATTTTCTTTTCTTTGTGAACAATGTGTGTGTTTATCCCAAAGGCATGTTATATCCTTTTCAAATAATACATAAAAAATAACAACCAGTGCTCAAATAGTGAAAATACAAGTAATGCATGTAATAATTCCTATTGCCATGGGTCAAAAGAAAATTTAAAAGAAGTGGTTTTAAAGGCATTTATATATGCAACAGTCTTAATTAGAAACTGACAAGTGCTAAAAATTTGAGGTGGTTAATTGTATATCTACTTGTCTTAATCCCAAATATACACACATTCCTTTTAAAGTGGCCTACTAAGTTCATATACCTGGTGGCCAATTTGTCTTCCAGTGATCTATAACATTATGCCAGAGTTGCTAGAATACTATTTTTGATGGAGCTCTGTCATTAAAATTGATGGGGTTCTTTCCCTGGAGAATATATATTTGTAACAGCAAGTATCTATTTGCAGGACCATGCCAAGTGATTTACTCACCATCAATTTTTCAGATGAAGAAGATATTTTTTAACATTGGGTATAATGTTACGAACTTAATGCCGATTACATACAATTGTTGTATATATCTGTCTAAATTATAAAACTTATACTTTCATTAGATAGTTATAAAAAAACATTAAAATATTATCAAAGAAAGCCAAAAACACAATTAAAGCCTATTTTGGTAGTATTTTGCTTTTATGAATTTTATAAAACTGAGATAAATTACATGAAAGTAAGCTCTTTAACTTTCTGTTCTCAAAAAGTTTTTTCTACAATTCCTTTACCAAAGAAAGACCAATGCTTGAACCCTGGTAAAAATGGAAATACCTTATCACTTAATGTTTCCTTAATCTCCACTGTGACCCTGAAGGCTTCCTAGTTGATATGAAACAGAATCATAAACTCTTATAATTATAAATATGCCCAAATCCAATACTCAAATGAGAGAAACACAAACATCTCTGCTATTGACGACTATGAATAAAACAAAAGCATCTCACTAGTTGAGTTGAGTGGCTTTACACTGATCTAAAACTCTACTTCATTCCAAACAAATGTCAAAAATGAGCTTCTGAGAAATCAACTTAATGCTCAGTTACCACTTATAAACATTTCAATTTTTTTTTTAGTATCCCAAATCAAGATTTCACAGTTCACCTCCCACTTACCTTAAGTAATAAAAATTAAAAAAACACTAAAGAATTGCACACAACTTGCTTGAATGCCATTTAATTGCAAGAGTGGGCACTAACTCTCCATTACAGTAACTACATGTATGATCTCATCATCTATCAGCACTTCATTTATTTAAAAAATGAAACACCAGTATATCTATCACAGTTTTTTCTTTAATTTAATACTGATAATGAATGTGGTAGTGACATAGCACTGGTTTTCTCATTCCTTGTCATGTTAAATATCTTTTGCAGTCCATCAGTGGCAACTCTGAAATAATAAAAAAAAAAGTTTGCTTTATCAATATACAATTTTCCTCAAACATGATAAATTTGTTGCATTTTATTATATATGCTATGGCATATAACATATGACTGGACAACATTTCCTTTTCATCTTTTTTTACTTGTTATCTATCAGTTGACAAATTAATTGTACACAGCTACACATAAAGTAATGACTCAATCTTTTCATTGCGGAAATTGTGAAATTTACAGATGAAATATTTTTCAAAGTTTAAATAACAATCCTATGAAGTGGTAGCAAGAAAATTAAAAAGCAGGCTACTTAACAGTTCTATTCTATATGGTAAAAGCACCAACAATGCTCTACAGGGTATTTTTAAAATAAATCTAAAATTATGCATCTGAAAGATTTTCCCAATTGAAAAGATCAAATCATAAACCGAGTCACTTTTTGATAAATAAAGAGAGCATATACAAATATACTCACAAAAATGTTTTTAACGTGTAAATGGTCTATTTAAATCTTGTGCATGACTTGGTAACACTCCTTCCTTCTTTGTCCAGTCTTCCTGCTTAACGGTCATGTCAACTTTCAAGCTGTCCAGTCCTCCTTTTTTTACTTTGCTCATGCATTCTTGTAAGAAATCTATATGGTTCTCAGGTTTATGAATCAATAGCTGTGTCAATAAACTCTGAAAGTAAAAGAAAAACAGCAACTTAGATTCAATCCATTAATCAAGATCAATAGTCTATAAGACTGTAGCATTGCAAATGTATGCAAAGCATAAGAGCAATTAGCTGAGAGAATAAAGTGGTATCAGAGTATTCACTTTAACCTTTGTCATAAGCTGATCACAGATTCCATTACATGGAGGAGAGGGATGGTACAGCAGTAGATAGCTTTCCCTGTGCTTACCAATTATTTTGGCTCCATCCAAATTATACTTAAGTATTCAAATGTACCTGCCACAACTCCCTCCATTAAACTTGCCTTTACCTTTGAAAAAGTGCATGACACAAGAAAACCTAAATGGTAGACATTTTAACTTTTAAAAAGTCTCATTCAGGTTTGGAATGCTTTAAGGCATTGTCTAGTGATTAAACTGATTAATCTTAAATATCTAAAGATTAATTACAAACAATCTATATAAATTTTGATCAAAGTGTTCGTGTATAACCATAGCACCAATGCTAAGATGAAAAAGCAATCAATATGGACATAAATGCATGTACTTAAAGAAAAAGAGTTATGTATGTATTCTGTAACATATACAATTACCTGAGAGAGAATGTACCCATTTTTGTCAATGAAATATTTCATTCTTTATTAGTGAAAGTTGAACAGCTGGTCCATGGGAATTACAAAACTGGGTGTGGGATATAAGTTTCACATTTATTTTTGTGATATTACATAAAATAACATACTGATCACAAACAATTTATTCACTTTCAACCAAGTTCCAGCAGTAATTTTCAAACCTTTCTATGAAAGATGGAAAGGGTGCATTCAATTCAGAAAGAACTGAAAGTAGACCATTATCATATTTCCTTACTCTGTACAGGCCCAACTCAGGAGGTTGTCTGATAAGGATTAACTATCTAATTGAAGTCAACCTATCCAAGGAGTTTTAATATTGAAACTCCTTGATCTAACAGCTTGCAACTTGCTTCAATAAGAAAGGTAGTGGCAGTGACAACAGAATGGATGTACTCCATGCAGTCAACTAATTGTAATCAGACATCCTGTCTAAGTTAAGTCAGTCCAAATTGAGTGAAACACTAGTGCATATTTAATATGCCATGCAGATATCACAGGTTGAATTTGTTGCTTTCGATCAATGCTACAAAGACACACTTATGTTCCATGCAGCATTCATAGACCTTATATGCTTGCATGCTGCCTGTGCCTCTTGAACATTGAATTAATGTGAATATGATGAAGGGTATCTTCACACCTTTCAGGCAATCACTTTTCTTTCAACGTAAGTAAGAATTATAATTTCATATCAGCCTTCAGCAAAACTCAATCAGCCAAAAGGACTTTCAGTCAACTGCAATAATATCTATTTTATGTTTCAATACAGAGTGATTTGCAATAATATCTATTTTATGTTTCAATACAGAGTGATTTGAGTTTATCACAACATGAATATCCTTTCCTCAAAGGCAAGTTCAATAATAACTTCATCACGAGAAACTACAAATTTGTATACTGTACATGTATGAATATTATGTATCATTGAAACACAATGTTAAAAAACTGCTTTCTATATCCATTTAGAAGTTGATTTCACTAAATTGAAAAAAAAAGAAAAGAAAGAAAGAAACTGAAGCCCCTAAAATTATCAAGTTTGGCTAATACAATGAAATTATTTGTTCCTAACTTCATTTTGCTGACCTAAAATACAAAACTTACTTCCCTTTGAAGAGGGCATGAGGACCCTCATACTTCCATTCTTAGCATCATTTGATATTTTTGGACTGGTATGACCTCCACAAACAAAGTTTGTTCATTTATCTACTGTGGTCAGTATAAAATTACCAGGTGCAGTCTTCAAATCACCAACTTTTCTATGGCATTTCCTTTACCCTTTATCAATTTTAATTATTATTTATTCCGGTTCAAGGTCATTTTAAAATGACTAGGACCTAACAATATACTTAATCTGTAACTAAAGTGCTAAAACTACGATTACAATTTAACATGGATTTTCACAAGGATTGTTTTCAAACAATATCATCATTACGGTATATTATCAATTGTTTTAATTGACTAGGTGGTAGTTGATATATGAATAACTCTGATACTGAAATTTACATTTAGTAACTGACAGAGGATGACTTCACCATTTTAGACCAGGAGGAAAACTGGAGCAAATGTGGCATCAAAAAAGCCATGTGGGAATGGGTGGAAAAACCAACACTGAACAAGAAAGGCCTCAGGTTTTACCTCTCACACATATGGGACAGTACACTGGAGACTATTCCTAGTCATATGACAACAGTTTAGGTGACCAGTCCATCAAGGTCATTTACCTAATGAAAGGTCTCTGGTTGAGACCGAGATATTCACAATTATCATTCCTTTTCTACAAGATGATTAACAACATTCATTCATAGACGGTGGATAGTTTAGAATATTCTTTCTTTTATTGTTGCATATTGTAATTTAAGGGTAATATTTTTTATCATTTTTAAGTCACGTGATTGCAGAAGATATCTGAATTTATTTGTGTGTGGGAGAATATTAGTAAAAATGTAATGTCATGGGCCTGCAAAATATGCTATTTTCCCTCTCAATTTTTTGAAGAACAATATAATATTTATAGTGACTTCCAAATGCATTCTTGATATCTGTTTTCATCTGTGTATTTTCAGGAATGTACTGTTATCCACATCTTTTCATAAACTGACTTTTTTGGCACCATAATAAACCCTATCAAAGTACCATGCCATCGGCAAGCAGGTGCCCGATTCCGAGAGCGAAAAAAGCTTGGTCAATTACAAACGAATTAAATCATACCATTTACATTTTTTCACACAGTTGTACTCACCGAAAAAAGCTGTGGTACTTGATGGTCTGCTAAATAATATTTGGCATCGTCCTTACTCATCTTTTTGGTTATAAGTCACGTTGTCTTACAGTGAAATGAACAAACTCGCTTGTTTGTTGTCAACATGGATACCCTAACATCCAAGACGCACCAAACAAATATGTAAGTACTTGTGATCATTTGACACATTTTGAAAAACCAAAAGAAGCCAAATAATGATAGTGATATCAAATATTTATTTATTTTATTCGTATAATTGAAAAATGTCACAGTTGTAGCAACTTATAAATCTTGTCTTGTAGAACTTAAAAGGTCAAGGTTGAGGTCTAACGGCAGCCATATTGTCTTGGGGGAGCATTTCTTCTTATTACTTCGGGTGCCACCGCTTGTCACTGAGATAACAAACGGAAATAATATCATAAAAACGGGGAATCTGTTGTTTCAGGCGTATTATATATGGGTAAGTTATCCCTTAATAATTAAACCTTAATCTATAACAGGTTGCTAAGCTTGTCGTACACACGACACTGTCCCCAGCTCAATTTCTGAATCTTCCAGTTCTTGTCAGTGCAGTTTTGCCTTTGATTTTCTAGATGCTGAACTTGTGAACCCCTTGCTTTGTGCATTCAACCATTTGCCGTAAACGAAGACAATGGGTGCTTTTTAATTTTGAATTTTCCATTCAATTCTCGATTTCCACAGTATATTTTTATACCAGAACGTAAAATCACTTTGTTTTGTTTTTTTTTTACCTGGGGCCTGTTTTAAGGTGATAAATGTTCAGTGTGGTTTGTCAAATCTATGTTTCAAATTTACAAGTTGAAAGTACATGCCATGCATCTTGTATCCATTATATCTTTCACAGTTATTTTCAGATATGTACTGTAAATTATCAATTTAGTAGATATCCAGTATCACATGTATACCCAGTAGTTGTCTGTGTGTTAAATATCACTTCAGACTCTGTCATATTGCCAAGGAGAGCCACCAGTGTTGAGTGGCCAACATGGTGGACAGCCTGACAATAAGCATATTTGTTGAGTTGGATAAACAATATCAATTACCTAGTAATATATTTTGTTTTTATTTTCTCACCCTACTTTTGCGAAAGACCGTTTCCTGTGTTTACATATGACTGGACTCATTTTTTCTAGTGTATTGTGCTGTGTTGGGCTGTTTTGCACATTTTATCATCAGTGCTACCAAGACAACTGATAGATCAATAGATCAATCATCAGCATTTATCATAGGAAATTATTGTATGTAAGTGTTAAGAATACATTGATAGACATGTTTTTGTCTGTCCTAGTTGATTGTAAGGGAAGCTCTGTATTGACTGGAATAGATTGAACGTAAAGAAACATGACACCAAATCTACAAAGTTACAATACTCCATTGCTGTTTATTACTGGTTAAAGTTGGGAAAGCTTAGCTCTAGAGATCATGTCCTCCTGCTTGTAGCCTTGTCCAAAACTTTTTACAAAGGTACATTATCCAATAAAGCCTTGTTGGGAAAATCCACTGAATTTGTTAACAGTGATGTTCATCCTTAACAAAATTAAAACTTTTAAACACAATTAATTAAGCTCCAGAATATTAATGTTTCTGGATATTGATGATAAGAATTATGAAATTAAATTATATCACACAGGCCAAAATTAATAACACATTTAACATTAATTTTGTTCAACAATCATGTCAAATTTACAGCCACAGGTGATATTGTAGAATAACATGATATCCATCATTTATAGTTTTTATAAGGCTTTTGAATGACCTTTTCTTAAACCCCTCAGGGAGTAAATATTGGAAACCAGTATGTATAATGGATTAAGGAAATAGAATAGTGATGAATTAGTGGTTTATGAATCACAACTTTAAAGTGCTCAGCAATAGTTGTTTTGACATAAAAATCTATAATGATACATTTGATTGCAGTAAAAAGGCATTTGCACCTTGTCAGAGAGGTATATAGCAAAAAAAAAAAAAAGGCACAGGAAACGGTGTCACTTATTGTGGAAGATTGTGTTTATATTGGCCTTAATATGAATTCTTTGCATCATTGCTGTCAAAATAACTAGTTGTCAGACTAAAGCAGAATTACCATTTGATTATCATTTTAATTATTCTTTTTTTTAATGCAGTTATAAGGTTTTTGGCAAAAAATGAATTATAAAATTTATTCCATTTTAAGAAACTCATACTCTTCTCCCCTCAGTTTCATTTGCCTTAGACATTTTTATCTCTGAGAAGGAGGGATTATGTTTTTGGGTCCATTTGTTAGTTAGTTTACTAGTACGTATCTGTTTGCAGCATTATGCAAAAAAGATGTGGATAGATTTTGATATAATTTTCAGGATAGCAGACATGGTGAAAACTATTCAGAATGGTTGGACATTTGGACCAGCAGTAGTGAAAAATTTGCCAGACCGAATGGATTTTTGTCGGACCGAAAATCACCCTATTCGTTTGAGACAGATACTACCAGTATGATTAGGGTAGCTGACTTTGTTTGTGAATGTGCTAGGTTTGAAATGGAAGGGAAAAAACTCTTTGGGTCTTAAATAATTTTATTAGTGAAGTATGTTGAATGATGACTGTAAATTCAAAATTGCAGTTCTTAAAACTCTTGTCGGTCCTTTGGAGCGACCAAGTCCAAATTTTTACCAGTCCAGACAAATTTTGCCAGTCGTGACCGATCGGACCAACAGTTTCAGCATGTCTGGGATAGACCACCAATGGGCCAAGGATGTAATGATTAAATTTTGGGAGTGATACAGACTACCATTGCAATGTGTTCACAGTTCTGCTTCGAAGCTACACAAGCAGTTATTGTAGTAATTACGTCCTGACTTATCTTAAAGCAATAATAACTCTTCCTTTGAGATTCAAAATTCCGCATGAAAAACATTGTAAACAACGCATGGAAATATATTCTATTGTATTTTACCACTAAAACGGCCGTTATTGCAGTAAAACTAAAATCTGTGCCTGTCAATAGGGCTTTCGATGCTTTCATCAAGGCATTCGTTGCTAATGACGTAATGGTGTCACGCGGATTCTCGCGTTCATTCGAGACCAAAATAACATATGGCGCCAAACGCATTAATGCGGACGCAGACGTAAGTTGCGAGTTTTTGTACAGTGCGTCGGATAACGAAAAGCCCAGAATGGCACACATTGTGGATATTAATGTATTTTTAACAAAAAGACGAATATATCTCATGAATCTTATATAGTGTTGTTGTTGTCTGCTTTTCCCGCGGTTTTAAGTAGGTCAACAGTGACTATGCGATGTCAGAGAGAGCTCCGTCAGTTAAAATCTCTTAAGAGATTTTAACAAAAAACCGTACGTTTAGGAAAAAAACCCTGGATTAACTTTGAATGCAGGAATGGGGTCGCTGACCATTGGTAAGTACGGGAAAATTGCCGTTTACTCCAGGAAAATCCAATTTTTGGTCAAAATGAAGAGTTATTATGACTTTAATGGTACACATCACAGACGTTATTTGCAAGCTGTGACCTGACCTCCCTTGTTGGAGGTCTACTTGCTCTGAGTGCTTTCCTAGTTATCATTTTTATTATTTAATCTGGAGTATTTGTACAATTTTGATCAAGTATTGAGTGTCTGTCCTTTAAATTGGTGTTTGCTTCTGTCTTCGGTGTCTGTGAACTGCAAGTTGTTATGGATTTATAAAATGGGTTATTCACAATGAGCTTTTTCAACTATAGATGGATTTCTGACTTTTGGAGAGCAAAAAATATCATTGCCTAGTATTGAATGTAACTCAGTAACTTCATAAGATATTATTCTAATAGATGGCATGGCTGACAACTAGTAAACTGCAATCTGGTGTTATCATTTCAATTTTCTTTTTTTGTTTAGGCGATACTAGCCCTTAATATCATTTTCCATTAAGAAAAGGCATTATATCTGGTGACATTTCCCTGGCACCAGATTTTAGTTCTAATTGTTATATGATTAAATAGGCGAGGGAGACATATTTAAAATCAATATTACAGCTTTTGCTACTTTTACTTCGTCAGCTTGAATTAGCAAATACACCCTTATGTACTTTTGATATGAGGACATCATCTCATAACATGACAACATTTATTTTTGGATTATCTAAATGGATAAAAAAAACCTAGCACATCGAAGTCGCTTAAGTGCATCTTTTTATGCCAACCATAATAAATAATAATTTCACCTGAAAAGCCTGAGTACGGTAAAGTCTTGAAAATTACGTCGTTCTTGAAAATTTCGTCGGCCGACGATTTTCCGCAGACGTAATTTTTTTCCCTTTGAAAACTTCGTCGACCTTGAAAATGAGGTACTCGATAATTTTTGAAAAGTTCGTCGCCAAATATGGCCGCGTTGTCCAGCTCAAACATAAAGGTAATGCGTCAGTTGATTCAAGACAATGATACGATCAGGATATCATTGCCGATAACACTCTCAATGGGAGATAGGGACAATAGTGCGCCCCTGCGAGCGGTCATTCACAATATAGATGGTTTAGATGTGAATTCCCGTTCTCAATTGCGGGAACGTCGGCCTTTTGTCTTTAGTTTTATTACTATTACCTGGCTCAAGGCGGCAAATAGAAGACACAGGCCGCGGCTCTGTCATTTGTAACGCCGTTATTGTTATCGGCGGCTGTCCTAAATGAGGAAGACACAATGAAAAAATCAAGATATTATCTCGAAGGGAAATGTACCTGTCACTTCTATTCATGGCCATGTTCAATTTAGGACCATTTAACGATTACCTGGCTCGAACATGGAGATCGTTCGCAATGCGAATGGGACGAGATGGCAATTTTCATATCTTCAGCGGAGAATCGTTCGCGTAATATCGTCAACAGCGATCCAAACGAGACGAGAAGATAATTTTCATATTTGTAGCGGACTCTGTTCGCGTAAGGTCACCAGCGGGAGATCGTTTGAGATTCGAGAGAGACGAAAAGGCAATCTTCATATCTTTAGCGGGAGATCGTTCGCGATGTAAGCGAGAATAAAATGCACTTTTCATATTAGTTCAAGGGAACTTCGTTCGTGGAAGATCGTCAGCAGGAGATCATTATTTTAACCCCCCTCCCCCTTTGAATTTTATAAATAATATATATTTTTCATTTTATCTTTAACCCCCCCTTCCCCACTCTCGGCATATCTTCGGCGAAGAATCGTTTGCGTAATATCGTCAGGACTTTGTTCGCGTAAGATCGTCAGAGGGAGATCGTTCGCGATCCGAGTTAGACGAAAAGGCAATTTTCATATCATCATCGGGAGATCGTTCGCGATGTAAGCAATAATAAAATGCAGTTTTCATATTAGTTCAAGGAACTTAAATTGCAGATGATCGTCAGCGGGAGCAATTATTTTAACTCCCTGTAAATTTTTAGGAAGTTACAGATGGTAATTTTAGAAGGCCTGACACTTAATCCTGGGAAAAGCCCTGCATGCAACAAACGTTGCCAAGTGCGTAATTTTTTTTTGAATATGTCGCATCCAGGTTATGATGCAAGGTTGCAATTAGGCTTATCTTGATCCTTCTTCTCTATCAGGAGGTATGTTTCTTACCGAGAAGATAATTCTCAACATATTTTCGGGTACAGTAAGTTAAA